AAAAAAAAGAAAAAAAAAAAAACCTACATTGCTAGACACCAGTTCACCAATGCAGCGTTATTCCTTCCACTCGTCTCTGCCTAATCTTACTATATCAGCCTGCTCAAGAACCCAGTATTTTGACGGTGCCTTCCCCGCTTCCGCCATACGAGCAGCTGCAACAGCTGCTCTGCCAATAACGGCTTGATCCTGACCTGCGCCTTAAAATCAGCACACAATACTCCTAAGAATTCAACAGCTAACCAAAGTAGTCCCTACCTATCATGTCCTGGACTCCCTGTCCGAGCTTATTGAGGTTCTGCACGATATTCTCCAATAATGCAGCTTTAGGCTTTTCTCTTTGGAGGATCAGACCAGGCCTCAGGATGATGCTATGATCAAAATCGAGTTGCTCGATGGCATCCTCCACACCAATCTTCATCTTCGAGTAAGGGACATAGCGCGAGAAGAGGCCTCTAGTCCCTCCACTAGAGATGAACACGTACGTCTTTACTCCTGCCTCTTTGGCTGCTCTGGCGTTGTCTATGCACAAGTCGTGGTCGATTTTCCATTGGTTCTGGATTCCTCCAGCTGCAGCTCTCGTCGTTCCGACTGCGTTGAAGACGATTGATGGCTTCGAAGAAAGAGAGGCGATCATGCCGCCCCATTTTGAGCTCTCTCTTTCTTCGAGGGCCTGCAGCTTGGGAGATTGGGCATTTGGCAGTCGCCTTGAAACCGTTTTGACGGATGAGAATGCGTCTGAGGCAAGAAGAGTGGCAAGGATCTGGCCGCCCACTGCTCCTGTGCAGCCAAAAACTGCTGCGGTCGTCATGGTAGGATCTTTATCTATAATAGCTGTCCTATTGGGACACGAAGCACATTGCAGGACGAGAAAAATATAATGTTCCCAATTTCGTATTAAATATGTAGGGAAAAATTAGGTAGCAACCGAGACGTCATCAATGCCAAGCTGTCGTAAAAATGCGAATTGGCTTACGTTATGCGTCATAACTAGTAGACTCGGAATATGCCGAGGCAAAAGATACCTCGCTAAGGACTTTGGGCCGCTGTCTATGAAATTGAAACTACCCAGGGTTCATCTATGGAGAAGGCGAAATGTACGCCTTTATATACAGATGACTAACGCTGGTTGATTTTCTTCCCTCCATGAAAAGCGATAGGATGCGACAAAAGCCGGAGGCTATCGACGGGATAATAACATGACTGATGGCGAACGAAAGAGCTGCAGCTACTTGGTGTTGCTGGTGGAAATTCAGAGTTTTCAATAGAGTGCTCCCTGAGCTGGAGGTTAACCTCTGAATCTACATTTTGTCCAGCACTCACACAGCCAAGGTAGTTTAGATATTGAATCTAACTCGTCGATAATATCTAGCTCAGGTGTTCTTCGAGAACATATTCACGACAGATATTATCCCTTCTATTTCAGATAATATCAACACAGAGAAATATTCTCATTCCAGTGCGTAGGCCCAGCGCTCGACGTTCATACATTACATGTACCGGCGACTCTCTAGCCACTCTTGTAGTGGGTGACGGCCTGTGCAGCGGTCTCAAATACTTTCCGAACCCCCTCGAAAGTGGCAGCTGAGCATTCAACGTATTCCGTAGCCCCAATTTGGCGACATACCCTGACAGCCTCCTTTGGGGTGACCTGCTCCGTTGCCACCTGGGAGACCTCGTCACTCGCCTTTGGCTTTTCATCAGATCGCGGATTTTTCTTCCGCCCCAGTAACTTCGTCATCGTCTGCAAGAATGCAGTACTCGCTTTCGGGTTCTCTTCACGACGCAGATCCTTCTTACAACCAACTAATATAGTCGGTATAGCACCACAGAAATGCCGAACTTCGGGGGCCCATCTTGTGGCCACGTTGCTGAGAGATTCAGGCGAATCGATGGAGAAGCAGATCAAGACAACATCACATGAGATATAGGAAAGAGATCGCAACTTGGCGAACTCTCCTTGATTAGCAGTATCCCAAAGGGAGATCAGGGTCCGGCTCCCCGCGATCGGGGAGACAACCTCCTCAAGGTCTAACAAGGTAGGTAATTCACCGCTCGCAGGCCTGCCTTGTGTGAAGGCAGTAAGGAGACTAGTTTTTCCACAGCTCGTATCACCGATGACTACAAGCTTGCGAGTGATATTACTCATGATGGGACCACTTCATCAATATGCAGGGGTATGTCTTGTAAACATGAGATTCCGCTCGAGTGGATAATTTCAGACGGGATGACTCATGTCCCGATATGCCGAGGTAAAGGCGTGCGACTCTGTTTTGCTTCTGGTCAGAGGCTAGCCAGTTGCTGCTGGTTTCATCCCGGGATTTATGGTCTAGGGGTGTGAAGTCATGCTGGGCGAATGGATTTCATATTTTAGTTATAGCCTCCAGGGGAGATCTGAAAATTCATTTCCCCCAAATATGGAAGGTGAATATCAACAGGCCTACGCGGGTAGCCTATTATAGGGGCGCTCCTTGAATGTATAATAAGTTTTGGCAATTTTAATGCAAAATGTATCATTAAGTACGGGTGCTATGTAGTAACGAGACGCGGTGTCCACAGAAGAATTGTTATGCCAGGGCAAAACACATGCTGTTAACTTGCAACGCCTCCGACTCAGCCAACACAGACTTAAATATACAACCAACTGTCCTAGTATATCTGGCTTTTCATGAAAGACCTAGCAGATTCACCGGCGCTTGACAACACTGGGTCAACCATGTTTCCTATGCAGAGCCGATCTGCCCAGGAGCTTCTTGACAGCACTCTTGGGTTTCATGATTCAGATCCATAAAAAGTTGCCAAACTATGTAGGCCAAGTTTACGATGATGCCGTACGAAGTATCCAACGTAGAATCTGTCATATTGTGCTGCGATGTACTGAAATATAGCTATGTGATACATTGACCCACAAGATATATTCGCAACATTGTCAATTGATCAAAAATGTTTCGCTTCCAGTTTGAGTGTTTTGAGGAAGACCTTTTCCTGGAGGAGCTGATCAAGGGCCTCCGTTATAATCATTTTATAGTCGACGGTAGTCGGTAATTTACCAAACTACAGGATTGCTATAAACGCAATAGCGGGAAAGACCGCTTTCTCCTTGGGATATTCCTCTGTATTGCCTAACGTATACGGCAGCATGGGATGTAGTACTATTATTCTCCTCGGTCGAGTGTCATCTTCTATAGGCGGAAATCTGGACTCTTTCACGCATGAGGCCGAGGATTATATATACTATCCCGAATGAATTGGTTAATCATCACAAAGGCACTGGCAGGCCGTATCCACAGCCAGAGACATAGGCATTCGGCTACTTAGTGTGAGCCACCCCAAGGCTAAGCTTCTATATGCCGAAGACATAGCAGAAAGTGATTAAGTGGACAAAGAACGGAGAGTCAGAACTACGAGTGTATAAATATCAAATGGTCATTTGTGGGTCCAGATGAGTAATCAATATTTGACCCGATCTCGGGCCCTCATCTCACCTCTGGCTTCATTTTCATCTTATATCCGAGAGTTGAACTTTGAGGTTGCAAGAAAAGGTCTTATTACGTCACACAGATATGCCTAAGCAGCCCTCTTCAACAAGGAATGTAAAGCAGCCCAAAGTCCGTCGTAACCACTCAGGCTGTCGACCATGCCGTAGAAGAGGAAAGCGGGTCAGTGAACGTCCCACAATCTACTACCGATCTAAAGCATCTTCTAAACCAGCTCCTTCAGTGCGATGAGGAAAAGCCCAGCTGCGGGGCCTGCGAGAGGTTGTCATTGGATTGTAGCTACGGTATCGACTTTACTTTCCATAGCCTGGACAGAGCATTTTTTCAGACGCAGTTAGCAGATCAAAAAGCATCAACTCGATCAAGTACGATTTCGAAGCGAACTACAGCGAAGGCTGTGGAGGACCCGAAAATTAAGATTGGATTGCTCAACTACTTGAACAGACTGGCAACCTCTCATGTACCACCAACTGTCAGCACGCAACATGAGATAGAGCTTCGATACTTGAACCATTTTCAGACTCATGTGCGCCATCTCCTTCCAGCAGCTTCGCTGCAACTTGTCGACAGATCCCTACAGTCCCTTGGATTACGATTCGCCGCGCTTTGTATATCGGCATCCAATCTCTCAATGCTCAATGCAGGGGTTCAGAGCCGCGTCGTACCAAACGATAGCCGAAAGTCGGTTTTCAGCCCGGTCGTGAATGGCCTGCATCACAGTAACGCCCAAAAATATCACGATTTGGCGCTGTGGAATTGCCGCACTGCGGAGCATGACGGGATCAAAAATGAAGCACCTGCGCTACTCGCTGCACACATTCTTCTGGCGTATTACCACCATGCATCCACCGATCATCTACGATTTCGATTCGCCGTGAAGGATGCTGTCCAATTCGTTTTGCAGAACAGGGCGACTATCGCCAATTCTCCAGATGGTGCTGACGCATTGCAAATGTGGTACCGTCTCTGCGCATCCCACCGGCCAGCAAAGCCACCAGCCTTGCTTCTTGAAGGCGAGGGAGCAAGTTCCTTTGGGCCGAATCTTCTTCCAGATGTTACTGAGCATACCTATCTCAATTGCATCATGGGGATGGGTGTAGACGATCTTATCTATGACATTCTTATCAAAACACTGGAAATCCGGACCAAGTTGGTGGTATTTCGTTGTGTGGCAGCCATCCGTCAGGTCTCTGAGACCTCAAGTGATATTGGCCCTCTTACACATGAAGTGATGAATAAAATGCTTGGGCGAGAATGCGGGCCGGATGAATATGCGGAAGCCCGGGATAGCTTTATGCGCGGCTCAAATTTGCTAGGCTTGCTGGATGTGCAAAAGGAACGTTTGAAGGTTTGGCGATCGCGACTTAGTGCGGAACAGTTGCGAGCCCAAGGCGACTCTACTCCTTGCATACAAAGGAAAACGACCCCTGAAGTCTCAAACTTACCCATAGGTCAACAATTTCCGACCCATCGAGATGCCATGAACGCCTTGTACAGTTTGCTTTGCGAAATGGCATTCGAAGATGCCAAGCAAGCTTTCGCATCACACCACACGTCTACAGTTGTTGGAGCCGATCCTTCACATGTCATAGCCGATATGGTTTATAGTGCGTGCCACGTTGCTAATATTCTTGATCTGGCCGTGTCGAATACGTCGGACATCTACACGATGAGCCTAGCAGAGGTCTTGCTTCAACTTGTATTTCTCTGGCGGTCGGATGAGCTTTTTGCCTACATTCTGGATGTTTTATGGCCCCGGCTTGAGACGCATGGAAAGGGCTACGAGCACTCCCACTACCCTACACATCTCGTCAAGCGTATTATAACTCAAATTGCAGTATACTGGGAGCAAGGTCGAGTGGTAAACTTTGCCCTGCCAGCAGTCGCAGAGAATATATCGAAGTTAAGCCTGTTGGATATTGACCACCCGATAGACCTGGTGGTATGCGGATATAACACGGATGGCATGTATTTCATCGAGAAAATCCCGCTGCCTTAATGGTCTTTCTAAGTGGGTATATGCTGTCAAGATAACTACATCTGCTGTATACGTGCCACGATGTGCCTTACAAACTCCTGTGCGACAATATATTTGTATTACGCGTCCCGGCAACGACGGTACCTGCGGACTTTCTTTTCCGACTTGCGGTATTTGGTTGTTGCCCGCAAGGTTATGCGAACGTTGCTCCAGATCAACAATCCGAAGACCAAGATGTCCATCGATGAGAGGCTGGGTACGGAGGCTTGTAGCGGCCACTCCGCAACAACAGTACTACGGCCCACCTGGGCATCAGGAGCAACTGTTGTTAGCCCAGGTTAATCAGTTCAGGCAGATCAGTCCTTTCTGAGGGCACCGGATTCTCGATTCTCATTTGTCCAAGCAATTGCCGGAGCCGTGGTGATGGGGTGCCTCTTCCCCGGGTATCAGACAACTACCTTATCTAAGACTCCTACTTCAGAAGAAAAGTTCCCGTCAGTTAGTTGAGGGTGGTTCAGTAGCGCTCGCAACGACCCCTTCACTGCCAAGCCGCATTTATAACTTCTATCGGCGGCTAAATCAGTCTGATAACCTCAACCTCTCTTTAAATTTCGGCCAAGATAAGCGAGTACAAATATATAGTTAGCACCAGAAACCCCTTAATTGTATACTTTTTAAAGAATAGCTTCAAGGTCTTGCTACTGGCCAGGGTTTAATTCAGAGTTGAGATAGCGATATCGTGGACTGAGGATATCAAAGACAGTAGACTGGCTAAATGGTGGTTGTCGCCCCTTCAACCATGCTATACAGGCTTTTTGCGATGGACGATGAGACGGGCCGTAGTCCAAGTCTCTCAGAACCTTTCAGAGGACATCAGCTAAGCAAGAATGTTGGCTATGGACAAAATCACGCGCTCGTCAACCCCCCAGGCTCCTTCTCCTTCATCGCAAACTGCGCTGCTTCGTCCGCGGTGAGGTCCATCAACGGATTATCTTCCCCAGACTGAATATTCCGATAGTACGCCCGAATGATACTGTCGGCATCATCAATCGCAATTGGGCGAATATCGGCTAAAGCCTTGATCTTGTGTGTACACTCCTTGTATTGCTTGTCGGTCATGCTGATATTTAGCTGCTGCGCCCGGGATCGGATGGCGTTCCAACCGGTGAGTCGCGAGGCAAAGTGCACGTAGCGGGTCATGCCAAAGTCTGCGGGGTTAATGATCTCATATGTGCTGGGGTCGTTGAGGATGGCTTTGGCATGAATACCTGGGATCCAGGTTAGTGTTTCTCTAGAAACTTGAGAAGAGGAGTACGTACCAGCCTTGTGAGTGAACGCACAAAAGCCCGTGATATAGTTGTTGAACGGGATATTAATCTGCACCGCCTCCGCAACAAGATCCTCTATATCCTTAATCTTTTCAAGGCGGTATTTAGACTTCACATACTCTGGATGCGTGGCAACCATCCGCGCCATGAGCCCTCCCAGCGGGGTAATACCATTCCGTTCACCGATTCCTAGCACAGAAGTGTCAATGTGTGTTGCACCTGCTTCCAGGGCGCAATATGCATTTGCAATTGCACATCCAGCATCATCGTGGAAATGGGTCTCGATATCGCAGCTGACCACGCCACGAAGAACACGTATGAGCTCGTACACCTGTCGTGGGGAAGCGCAGCCAATTGTATCGGCAACGCCGACTCGATTTACGCCGACTTGGTCGACGGCGGAGTAAATTGAGAGGAGGTCCACTAGGTCCGAGCGGAAGGAATCTTCTGTTGAAAAGCGAACTTCTATTCCTTGCGACTTCACGAAGTTGATGACTTCAATAGCGGTCTTCTTGATGTACTCAATATCCTTACCATGGGAATGCTGGCGCATGAGAGATGATGTTCCAATCATTACATCGCTAGTTCATACTTAGACAAGAAAAGTAGCCGTGGGAAACAAGGACTTACACGCCATCAACACCGGTGGCCACGGCAATTCGCGCGTCGTCCATATGGCATCGAATATGGGTTAGGATCTTAGCCTTAAGACCCAACTTGCAGATCGCCTCACAGTCAAGCCTCGACTGCTCCGAGGCACACGGGTTCGTGAGCTCAATGTAATCAACCCCGAACTCATCTAGTGCCCTTGCAATCTCGATCTTTTTCTGCGTGTCAAAGAAGGCATTGGCAAACTGCTCGCCCTCGCGCAGGGTGCTCTCGATAATCTTAAACCGCGAGACATTGCTCAGAAAATCGCTAACCGCATTTCCGTGACCATAAGGGTTACGATTCGCAGGGCTGGAGCTCAATGCTGTCGAAGTTAGGAAAATAGACGCTTCTCTTAGTCAAATCTCGTACCTGGGCTCATGTCACTCGCGCCGGACATCGTGCTTGTCTCCTCTAGGGTGATCGCGGGGTAGTATAAGATGTAGGATTGAGAAACGACTTTTCGCACTATTTGAAGACAGATTTCTTACCGACCTTTGTCAGTTATTCACAAATGAGTCACGAATTCCTAACCACGATGGGAAAGAATAGGACGTGCTTCCGATGCATGCCGGACATTTTCCGTCGACGTGTCGGGATTTTTCCGGGCTTTCAAAACTCCATGTCGCCTCCATAAGTATGGGGTCCCGTATATAAATCCCTCATTACCAAACGAGTTTAAAGATGTTGATATACTTGTTAACAATGCGTGCGATTTGGTCCATAATCTCTTGCATCCCTATCTAACTTGCAGTAACAAATTTTCAAGCGGCCTAGTCAGAGGTATGGCTCAAGCGCCAGATATTGAGCCGGAAGATATGGCTGTAATGTTCGACACGAACGTCACTGGCCTGACTAACATGACGCAAGCCCTCCTGCCCATTTTCAAGACCAGACCTGATGGTGGGCGAGGGGATATCATCAACATCGGCAGTATCGCCGGCCGTGAGCCATACCAGGGTAGGGGTATCTACTGCGCGACAAAACCACTTGACTAATCCCTTATTCATCCGCAGTAAAGCCAATATTGTCGGGGACCTCTACAAGGGGGCAACATAAAGACATTAGCTAGGTACCCTTGCAGTCTAGGGTTCCTTGGGCCATACCAAGGGAACGCATGACCTAGCTTTTTGGTACTATACGGGATTATAAAGGGATCAATATTATTCCGAGGCTCTCCCCAATATGTACTAGCGGGTATTCGCTTTAGGGGTTCTGAAACGAAAAATGAAACGTAGGGGGTGACAATAGTTTTGACTCTCATGTTTTGCAGAGATCTGCATGGCGCTAGCCCTGTTTGGGATATATTATACGCCCGTATCCTGTATTACGCTTGTGACGTTCGCCCTAACCGTATCTAGTAAGCGATGTACCTGTTGTCGACAAGTCTAACCCGCTTTGGAGAATAATTACGCCGGTACTGAGTTTACCGTTTTGCTGCTCCCATGAGGCTATGCAGATGTCGAGAAGACAGACGGACGTGCATTATTTAAACACTGTCGTGTGCCATTTCAGGCTCGAGCAGTGGAAGCATTTCTCTGAAACGCAATCGACAGAAAAAATGGCACGCGCAGTGTGGACAAAGCTTCTTTCGGACGACTCTATTCGGAGGTCGTCGCAAACCCTATCGGTCATTGAGGGCAGTGCGTATCTGTATGGCGGGGAGCTACGGCCCCGGGAGCCGGTGGACTCAGCTGTCTATCGCATCGCACTAGACAACAGTGAGAATACATAATCGACCACGCAAGGACAACTCAATGCTAATCTCTCATAGAACTACCTTCGCATACTAGAACGTCCACGATCGCCAGCACGTCCGAGAGTCCACAACCGAGAGTCGGGTCTGCATCGACGACCATCGATGGCAAAGTCTATGTCTTCTCGGGGCGTGGCGGCACTGCCATGTCTCCGATCGAAGAAGCCGGGTCATTCTGGGTATTCGATCCGAATACCAGTACCTGGGTCCAGGTGAAGCCCGCAGATCCTCAATCTCCTTACCCAGCGGGACGCAGCTACCATACTCTGACGAACAACGGCAAAGATACTATCTTTCTCCACGCCGGCTGCCCCGAGAAGGGCCGGCTTGGTGATTTGTGGGCGTTCAACATTCTCACTCGTCAATGGCAAGAACTAGCCCCAGCCCCCAAGCCAGAGAGAGGTGGCACATCCATTGCTTATGCGGAAGGGAAGCTCTTCCGGATGAACGGCTTCGATGGAAAGACAGAACAAGGCGGTGCATTGGATGTGTATGACCCCAAGAATAACATTTGGAACACCACCACGTATCCGGCGGATGGGGTTTCCGGTCCAGGTGCACGTAGTGTGAGCTGCTTGCTATCCCTTAAAGTTGCCGGGAAGCCGAGCCTTGTTACTATGTTCGGTGAACACGATCCTAGCAGTCTAGGACACCAGGGTGCAGGTAAAATGCTTTCCGATGTGTGGATCTTCGATATTCAGTCTGGAAAGTGGACGGAAGTCCAGGCGGATGGCGATAACGCCCCAGAAGCTCGCGGATGGTTCGACGCCGATGTCATTACAAACGCTTCAAAGGATAGTATCGTTGTCCACGGTGGGCTGGCTGAGTCGAACGAGCGGCTTGGGGATGTATGGAAATTGGATTTTTGATACTACAGCCAGTCGTCTGTCAATGTGGGAACTTGTCGGCATAGGACCGTGCTTCCAGATTTCATAGCATCGTTTCTTTTCTCCACATGAGCAAAGTCTTCACAAAACACCGGACTTTCCTTGATCTTCTGGATAGTTTCTAGCTGTTAGTAAGATTAATAGGTCCAGATTAGACATGTGGATCCGGCTAGGCTGTACGAGGGTAGTTCTCGAGCTCTTTCATTTAAAATCCTGTAATCGGTTGTGCAGAAGCCCTTGCCTAATGAAACCGTCGTATTACGAGCTTTCTAATAAGTACAGTACCCAGAGGTAATGCCTTACAGCGATTACCTCGATCCACCTCATTCTTACCCAGGTGGAGCAAGAGAAATGGCTGTTGTTCCGTGTCCACCGGAGACTGCTCGTATGGATGTACCAGCGAAACAAAGCCCCTATTACCGTGTGGTCATGGCGATCATACGCTTATATTTCATTTGTCCTTTTATCTTTTATTTACTTTAGATTGGATTATGTTTCTCATAACACGCCAGATTCTGTAGACCCGGATATTCACGGTTCCGTCCATCATTAAGGACTTAGCTTCTCCTCTTTACTAGTCTCAGAAAGGAACCTAAAAGACACAGAGACAGTCCACATCTTCAAACTATTGAAAACTTTTTCTATATCCCAAAGATGGCATCACGCGTTATCGAATCATTGACCCCTTCAGAGTATTCACCTCTTCTTTCTGGTGATCCCGAACCCACTCATCATCCACAGTCAACATTTCCTCACAGTCCGGACGAGCGTCATATACGCAATGAAGTCCCTGGAACGCTTACACGTCGCTTGTATATCTCGCACTTTCTATCAACATGGAACTCTCGCGTCTTTGAGTTTGGGGCTGTGCTCTACCTGGCTTCGATTTATCCGGGAACTCTGTTACCCATGTCAGTTTATGCCCTCTCCCGAGGTGTCGCAGCGATTCTGTTTGCACCAGCGGTGGGCAATTATATCGATACTGGCAACCGGCTGCAAGTAGTTCGAGTCTCGATCGGTTTGTGATATCCATCGGATGCTAATTTGGTTGACTTATATACTTATCTAAACCAGTGCTACAAAGAGTCGTGGTTGCAGCCTCTTGCCTGATCTTCTACCTGCTTGCAATTGGTCTGCCGATGCTCAGCACGATTAATGATGTTTTGCTGGTAGTATTAGCGCTCCTTGCATGTGTTGAGAAGCTATGTTCTATTATGAATCTAGTATCTGTTGAAAGAGACTGGGTGCGTATACGAAGATATACCATGTCTACAAACATGATTCTGATAGGATCTGTTAGGTTGTGGTTGTCGCAGGAAATGATCATGAAGGCCTCAGGAGTGAGTATCAGACTTGCAAAACGAGAAACAAACACTAAGTACTAATATTGCTTGGCACAGCCATGAATGCCCAGATGCGCAGGATTGACCTCGCGTGTAAACTTATCGGGCCACTCGTCATAGCCTTGGTTGACGGTGTCTCGACTAAGATTGCCATCATGTTCAACCTGGGAATGAATGTTGGTTCTGTAGTCTTTGAATACTTTTTAATTGCCAGAGTAAGTACTAACATCACTACTTCAAATCGCGCGCAAGTCCTGGTTCTAACATATGTCCTCAGGTATACTATGAGGTACCCGAACTCCAACAACCAGAGGCGAAAACATACCTCGACTCGCCAAACACGGAATCCGACCAGCAAAACAGCAAAACGCGCCTCTGGCACTACTGGCATTGTCTCACACACAAGGCCCTCAGAGACTTCGAATCCTACTTTCGTCACCCTGTCTTCCTCCCCTCATTTGCCGGCGCTTTGCTATATCTGACTGTCCTCTCATTTTCGGGGCAAATGGTCACCTGGCTCTTATCAACAGGCTACGACTCCACACAGGTTGGCATCGCGAGAACCCTAGCCGTAGTATTCGAAGTCCTCGCAACATGGATCGCTCCTTGGCTCATGGGGAGAATTGGTCCCACACGTGCCGGTCTATGGCTCGCCAATTGGCAAATTATATCACTGGTAGCTGGGATGACCATCTTCTGGATATTCCCCGAGCAGCCTCTTATCTCCGCATCAGCACTCGTAGGAGGGACGATCCTCAGCCGAGTCGGGTTGCGAGGCTTTGATTTGTGCGTTCAGATCCTCGTTCAGGAGGTGAGTGTTTTAGATACCTGCTGCGAACAGATGAAGCGTGTTCCATCTACCGCAATATCCGCAGAGGGAAGACATAAGGCTAACATATGTACCCCAAACAGTGCGTCGAACCCAAAAGTCGAGGCAGTTTCTCCTCAGTAGAGGCTGCGTGGCAGAATGCGTTCGAGATTGGTTCGTACATCTCGACTATTGTGTTTTCGAGACCGGATCAGTTCGCATGGCCAGCCCTTATCAGTGTGGTTGCTGTTGGCCTTGCTGGGGTGCTTTATGCGGTCTTTGTTCGCATGCAGCGTGGCCATCTGATACATGTGCCAACGTGGATTGCAGCTCCGGGAATGCTGCAGCAAATGAGGGAGATTTGTATTGAGAGGATTTATTCGTCGTCGGAGGTCTAGCGTGGGTATATGGGGGGTGGATACCGGTCATGGCTGTCACGAATGCTATTCGTGTTTCTTGGCTGCCTGGTGAGATACACATATTCAATAGAGCGTCCTAGGGCTAAGCTCGAAAGATGAGGACATTGGGAATATTGCGGACCATCGATTACTGTATGGACTGGAGTAAACAATAAAATACAAGAAGGAAAAGGTAGACAAGAATGGATAGGCCGTGAATAAGAAAGGAAAACAAACGAAGTAGTAAAGAGGGTCCACAACCAAGAGCCGTCTCAGGAGAACCCTCAAGCCGAATTGTAAATGAATGTGTGCTTTCAGTTCCAGATGCTCCACCATCGATGACTTCCTCACCGAGTAGATCGGCCATCCTTCATTGTATGCCGCATTGCTAGTCGAGTCTTCCCGACTGCCTACGTTTTCAAAGGTATCATGAGAATATCATCAACGTTCTCTCCGGCGTCCTTTGCCTCTTGCAGATTCTTCGGCGGCAACTTATCCCCCTCTTTATGATCGCAAGTATGGCTAGGTCCACCGGCCTCCCGAATAGCATCCTCAACACAGCCGTTCTTGAAGCCGGTCATTGCGAACGTAACCTTCTCAGTGTTTCGCTCTCTGCCTTCGAATTGTGACTTTTCATGCTTGTACCAGAGGTAATCATTGATTCTGAAATTCACGAAGAATCCGTTTTTGTGACATTTATTCCTCAGGGTGTCAGAGAACGACTGCCCATCAGTCCATCCGTTGATACCAGCAATCCTAAATACAACCGTGTTATATCCATTGTCGTTCAATATATCACAGGAGGCAGATGGCTTCGCCGCAGCGGAAGTCCAGGAGGCCTCGGCGGCCTCGGAAGCAGACTTCGATGCGGCAGCCGATGCATGCACAGCACCCATGTACGACACAAATTCTGCCATCCGAGATGTAGAAGCAGATTGCGCGGCGGAATAGGAAGAGGCGATGGATTCCACGGTGGAGATTACCTTGGTTTCTCCTGCGCACTCGGCTGTTGCTTTGTCGCCGTCGGGGGACTTTCCTGAGGCGCAGGACACGACCTCCCCATTGGGCTGTGTCGTCGTAACTGGTGGCGGCACATTAGACGATGCTGCGGTAGGAGTGGGCGTAGGAGTACCCATGGGGATGAGCGAGGGCCCAGGCGTAATCATCGTTGATACTGGGAATAGAGGCCTACTGCTGGCCCCGCCGTATATGGGAACTGGTCCAGCGTTCACCAACGGGCCACTAGATGGGTAGTTCACTTGCCCAGGTACGACCATAGGCCCTCCCTGCACCGCATTGGGTTGAATCATCTGCCCCGCCGCCGGGGGGCCCTGTGCGCCATTGAGGAAGGAATTCATCGTTGCGCCTGCGGGAGGCATAGCTTGGCCCATGTTGTTTGCTGGCTGGATATTACCGTTATTCATATTGTTGTCCATGCCCATATACGCGGCATTCTGGGGCGGACCCGCTTGGATATAGTTTGGTACTATAGAGCCAGCTGGGGGAGCGATGTTGTTGCCGTACCCATTGTATAGGCCATGTTGACCGGAGCCGGTCAGGCCTTGGTTCGGTTGTGGTAAGCCTCCAGCCGGAGCCATATTGTCATTAATACCTCGCTGTAGCCCATCCTGGACAGGAATTGCCTGGGCAGAGTTAACCGGCATAGGAGCCGCAGGTTGGTACATGTTGTTTCCATTGCCATTTGTTAATCCACTTTGAATAGGCTCTGGCGGAGGTGAACTGGAAGCGGCCACGGGGTAAATCAGATCGTTCGCATTACCGCTGTCCATTCCATTGACCGGGGCATTCTGGATAGAGTCTGACCCTGGCTGCGGACCCACATTGTTCATCGCGTCATTGGCATGCCCGTCTAGAGATTGGGCCGGCAGATTATTTGACTCGGTCATTCCTCCTGATTGATCAAGGCCATTTTCAATGCCATGTTGTATCCCTTTAGCAAGACTTCTACCGGGTGAGCCTAAGAGAGGGTTATTCGCTGAGCCACCGCCAACTTCAGGCGCTTGAGCCACAGGTGCTTGTACCGCTGGAGCTTGCGGAGCTTCGACTGGGGCATTACCCACTGCATCAGCAATCCCCTGAGAACCACCACCAACCGCATTAGCAGCGGCTGGAGCACCAGCACCTACTGTTCCACCAACAGCTTCAGCACCTCCAGCAAGCGCTCCAGCACCGGCTCCAGCACCAGCGCCGAATATTCCGCTAATAATTCCAGCTCCTCCAGCAGCCACACCAGCAGCCGCACCAGCAGCCGCGGGGACACCAGCACCGACTGCGCCACCCGCAGCTTGAGCACCTCCAGCAACAGCTCCAGCAACAGCGGGGGTACCAGCACCGACTGCTCCACCAACAGCTTCAGTGCCTCCAGCAGTCATACCAGCAGCGGCTGGAGCACCAGCGCCAATAGCGCCAACAGCACCGCCAGCGACAGGAGCAGCAACGGCTGGGGCACCGGCGACTGCAGGGGCTGCTACTGGTGGAGCGGCTGCGGGGGCTTGAGGAACAGCTCCGGGCTGAGGGCTTGCAGGTGCAGGGGGTGTATTGCAGCGGAATAGACAGGGAATGTCGATTGCGTCAAGCAAGCCAGGCAGGTTCAAATATGTACCCTCACTCTCAATTCCGAGCAATCCCAGTCCGTCAATCACCGGAAGGATGGTTTGAATCCCGTTTAGCGCGGTTCTTAGAAGGCCGTTTTGGTTGGCCATAGACTCAATTCTCATGGTGGAGAATTGAGGTGGGGCCTCCGAGAACGTTGGTAGGCGTGGTGCCCTTGTTATAGGAGGGATCGTGTCATCGTCTGTCGTGGTGTCAGGAGACTCGTCTCCGGCGTTCGATGAAGGAGTTGCGTCTGGGGGCGAGGCAGAGCCTGGTGTAATTGAAGCACCATTGCTATTGCCCGCAGGGATGACAGGAGCGGTAGACTGGGACGAAGTATCAACAACGTGGCTTGAGGAAGCGGCGCCCCCAGTGACACTGCCTGGCGTGGACGAGTATGCGGCATCACTAACACTGGCTGATGGGGCGGCTGGGCCATTAAGAGTATCAGGAGCCTGGACTGGGCCTCTCTGATCCGCCTTTGCCTCGATGAAATGCCCTCGGTCAATCGGAATGTCATTTGAGGCCATTGTTGGCTTAATAGGTCTATCCGTGGTCCAAGTTACTATAATTGTTGAAGTTATGACCTCTTGAGAGCCCACAGGATTGATGACACTCCCATAGGCTGGACCTGGTGGATTGACCGGGGGATTCGGAGAAGGACCATTCCCAACTGCGTTTTGGGGATTGATCGCATTTTGGGCCGAGGGAGCGATATTGCCACCAATGTCGGCATTTGTAGATCCATACGAGGCCCCATAGGCGCCGTTATTGGTATTCTCGGAGACTCCATCCACGCCGTTATCGGTAACATCGGAGTGCTCATTGCCTGCCGGCAGACCGAGAACATTCTGTACTAGCAACAGTACTAGAGGGATTGATTTCTGGTACATGGCTCAAGAGTGTTGTACTATTCACACTGTAAATTTAAAGGCCGTGGAGGGAAGCTGAAAACAAGATCATAAATGTAACGACTGTTAGGGCCAACTGTAAGTTGTCCTTGGAATGAGAGAACGACAATTGAACTAGTGGCAGTTTACTCTAAGTAGAAACATATTCCAGCCATAGGGACCGAATATACGACAAAAGAATAACGTTGGGATGTGGGTTCAGCCCCTAATTTATCAACGGGGGTAGCCGCTGCCCATCTGAGAAGAGGGCAGATATTAGTGTGTCGGCACCCTAAAGTCTACGAGCACGAGTTGAGTGGATTGCTCGTATCTCCAGAGTGCCATTGTAATATCGAGATTCTATTATGGATTCTTTGTTTCTCGGGCACGGATTTAATGGGTTCTGCGTTTGATGCTTGGCAGGGGCATCCAAGATGATGCCATTTGGGTCTAAATAGATCAAGCATTCACATAGTATCATGACCTTCATCGGTCAAGGGGTCGTTTCCAGTCATGGTCCCCAGAGGGTTATATCCAATTAGGTCAGGTATGATCAGGTACTAAACAAAGAAACATAGGCCGTTTGAGAGTGCATGAGTCCATAGCGCTGGCCAGGGCTTGCACGCCCGGAACCCTAATGGTACGATGAAAAACGTGATTCGCGGAGACTCTTCGCCCAATGTCCACCAAACGTTGCCCGGTGCTTTTAACAAGATGGCCATAGAAGTCCGCATATGACGCCCAAACAGTACACGGATTAGTCTCCATTCATATGGACGATTGCTACCACGGTGGAATACTACCTATACTTACCTCTATTCCGGGGGGTCTCAGTTCATACAGCAATCTTACATTCCCGGTCCTGTCTTATTGGAGGAGTATACTATATTATTAACAGAAATGAATGTAACCGCCGGATAACGACTTAAGAGTTATTTAAGCGTACATATCTTGATCTACGGACAAGTACTAAATTACAGACCTCTGGTCCTAACAAGGGTTCGCGTTATTGAGATTGACATAAACGTTTGCACCTACTTGAATCTCAGAATTGCCTTTCGGATGTCATATCGCTCTAATTAGGGGTAAGGGGTGGGTAATTCTTATAATCTTCCCATGAAATGGAAATGAGATTCTCTTCGGCAACGGCCGCTCTGTATTCCCACAGGGGGGCTGTTGACACAATAACATTGGTTAGTAGGGATTCCATCGCTGTATACGATGGTTTATTGCATGATTGCCTTTCACGTCAACAAATACCAAGGTCCGACCCGACTAAACCAATAGGCTTGGTGAGCTTCGCACATTCTACGCCGTGTTCTAATAGACATGGCTCTGCTTAACTCCCAGTGTTGAATGTACCAATGTTCATAGTCATCACTATCATGATCCACCAATTTCCCTGTATCGCCACGAGTCTAGTCATCCTATCCTTCGCGGGGTGGGCTCACGAGCCGAAGGGGTGTAATTCCAGCTTAATTTCATTCTCTCCAACAGTTCCAAGTTGCGGTGTTGGGTTTTGTGATGCATGCTACCAGGGCAAGGATGGTGGTATGGGACTAATATATCGGATTAGTGAAGAACCAATCCTTCCATAGTAATGGAAACATCATCCATGCTCAGTTCCTGTTATAGAGACAGTTGTCTACTAATCGTAGATTTCCCTTCTTGCCATGCGTTGAGTACACCTTCACATTAACAGGTCTGGGAAGTAGTAGGAGATTTACTATGGAATGATAACGTGTCTCTATGATGGGTAGGTCGCTCAGGTTCTGGACCACGAATAAAGAAAGTGTTACTCCGTAGTGTGGACGGAAATTGAGTATCATCATGGCCTTCCCCTATCCCAACAATGAACGGGGCGCGTTAGCGGGTCCCCAAGCCTGTCACCCCATTAATGACGAATTTCTCTTCATTCCTGTCTCGTCTTTCATACTGCATACCTGTCTTTGTGAATTTACCTAGCTATTTCAGTATTTTGACCCTGGGTGATCTCAAGGGATACTTACACGAGTGCTACAAAATGGTCCAAGTTCCATTCCCAGAATATAATGACTCTACCTTCTTTTAGGCCGGTGGTACATGTATTACGGCCGGAGGATATAACCTTCACGTACCGTCAAAATCCTTGATGCACGGCCTAATAGCTCATCGTGAACATGAATTGTCTAGCCCCCCACACTCAAAGTACGTGGGCTATTTTTAGGCCCGTCTTCTGTTGGGGAGCTAAGCAATCCAGTGGGTATCAGAGCCTAATTATATCGGTGTAGCGCCAATTGTCTAGAATGCCTTTTTTGGCACAACTGCATCAAACATTGCAAGATACAACAAAGTAGGACAAAATTGCATTTCGCGGTTAGCATAATTACTTCAGTATTAAAACATGGGAGAGAGAAATGATGATATTACAAATGCGTCGGCCTGAAGCGACCTGCGACTCTAGTAAAATCCCATTGTCGATCCGTGTTGTAGCATGCTTTTAATATATACTGGTGTATAAAGACTTGCTCTCACTGTTTCAGGAGTCTTGTCTTCGGAATATTTAGCCTGAAACGGGAAGGGTTCCGATTTACCAATGACGATTGATAGAGAACCATTTGGCTTTGCCAATTTCTAATGTAGTAACGTGAGGACTCCATTTCCCGTATCTTATTTGCGTTGTCTAGTCCAGTTTGGAAAGCGTTGATGTCGTATCCACGACAGACGAGTTCCCTAGACTTGAGTCGTCGCTCGAGGCCGCTTCTGCATATGCCCGGGAGTAGTAGGTGGAGCTAGTATAGGTGGTTTGAAAGCCCTGCCTGTCCGCCTTGGCTACCAGCGTAAACTCATCAGACGCCGAAGTCGTGCCGTAGAAGTTCCAATGGTCAACTTCGGTAGCACCATTCCAACTGACCCAGAACGTAGTCGCAGAGCCTGGGGCAGCCGCATAGCTACGAAGGGCAGGATCGTCACTTGGCTCTCCGGTCCAATTAAATTTGAAAGCACGGTAGTTCATCGCCTTCGGATCATTTATTGTTGCAAAGAACACGGGGGTTCCATCGTCGGTATGCTCAGATATTGAAGGATGGCTCCCCCATCCGACCAAAACGTGTTGATTCGGCAGTGTTTGGAGGTTTCCCTGGCTTGTCGATAAGAGTCCGCCATCAGGGGCCTCGTATCTCTTCATTAGGCTTGAGGTATTTGCTGCATTGTCAATTGACACGATAATACCCGAGGACGTTGATGACGTGTTTCTATATCCATTGCTCCCATTATCAAAGAGTGAGATGACAGTGACGGTATCGTTCTCCTGCAGGAAGCGCGCATCATGCTGAGAGGAGAAATTGTAGTCCTGCATTTGTATTGAACTATTTGTCCCGCCCAGTCGCCACAGAATGGATCCATCCTTGCCAGATATCTTGTAAATGCAGCTGGTATGTCGAGCAGATACCAGATAGTCACCATCATTGTTCTTATCCACGGAATTGATGTGAAAGTAGTCCCAAGCCGTCGCATTGCTCAGACCATCACCCACGACTGAGTTGAGTCGGATGGGAGTGTACGTTTCAGAGATGCTAACGTGATCAAGAGACCTCCATTCGAAGAGTACTTCTCCTGATGTGATATTGATCTCTTGAAACACGCCATCCATGACCCAGCCATTGCCTGCTGGTACACCGTACGCCTCTAGGTTGTAGAGGCGCGGCTGGTAGATGGGGATGAGGACGGAGGTCTCATCAATAATGTTCAACTCATGCATGTCGCTCAGCGTCAAACCATTCCCACTTTGTACAGTCGCTGCTTGTCGATAATCTGGATTCAAGATGATGTTACGACCCCTAGCGTAGCCCTCTATTTGATTTCCTTGGAAGTAGCACAGATGATCAGATCCCTCGTAGGGGCACACCTGCAGGTCATGAAAAAGTTCGGTCATTGACCCATCGGCTCCGCTCCATACCAGATCCTAGGCTCTTTGTTTAGCTATATGTTCATAAATGTAGCATCAATAAACTTACACCGTCAGTATCATAAATATATGGTCCTGGCCGTTCGGTTTCATATGGTGCCACAAACAGATAGCCCGGGGTAAGAAAAGAGTCGTTCTTAAGACTCACTTCCAATATCGGAGCACGAATATCGGGTCTCTGGTCATGAATCAGCTTTACTCTGACTACACAATAGCTAAGCAAAGAGACGAACTGATTGAAAAGATGTCCATGTTGCAGCATTGACTATACCCGTGATTGTTAATGTGCATATCAATGTCCGAAGCAAGTCCTCATAGGAGAAGCGGCTCCTCCTCTTTTCAAGAACCATGTTTACAATTGCAAACGCAGCATCTGCTTCTTCCAATATTAAAAGCTTATAATTCTTTCAATTGGAGTGGCTGTATCAACGCTTCTAGGGTAAGTATTGTAGTAATAAAATGAAGGGTTAGAAAAGGTAAGAACGCATTCTTCGAGTCTAGTATCAATTGACTTTTCCTGGCATGAAATACACTGGCAGTATTTGTAGAGGTTTACGTATGCGCATTGGGTTTCATCGTTAATATCATATTGTGGTTACGTCATGACTTCAGTCTTTTACTTTTCGACACCTGGTGCCTAGATCGGTAGAGCTTGATGAAAGGCCGTGCCAGATTGGGAGTCACTTAGAAACACAAATCATACTAGACTTGTCCTCGGGTCGTAATTGGGTCGCGAGAATAGGATCTAGGCGAATCTCGCCGGATCGGCGCACTACCCGATCGAATGAACTGCCATAGTTGAATGATAGGGACGAACCGCGTTCTGTTCGAGTCCCAAGCATTAAGGACGCATTCAGGTTTCACGACCTTGGTCTAGGATAGCAGTCCGTGCGCCTTAAGGTTCTTGGACAAGAACCCTTGAGGTAGTCATCGGATCATGCGTGAGAAGTATGAACCTTGCATGGCAACAGGCCCAATGAACACCGGAGGAACTATGTCATCTATCTATCCTGGAGATCATCCGAATCCGAGATTGCCGAATAGAAAACGAGGATTGGCACAGCCCCATGTGGGATATGTGTTGACTGGGGCCCTCAACCGTGGTTCAATCTTATCAGACCGAAACCTTATCACGAACTCGGAGGAGTTGGGACTTCGCCTCCAGTGGAACATATTGTCAGATCATTGGATGGAACATATTCTATCCAATCGTCCACCCATGTGCGTGTGGATTCCGGGGTTCGAATGTGTCAATCTCAACTGATGTTGCTAACTCTTTCAAACTTGGACCTTCTCGTGCGCAGCCACTGAGCTATCAATGGATATGGCTGCCGGATGGTAGAACAAGATTTTTTGGTTCCGTTGCGGACGGCCGACAATGACATCATCAGGGTCTAGGAGCTGGATTTCGTGGTTGTATTGAGTAAATTGGGTAGACTTGGGTATTGATACAAGTACATGCGTGGTTGTAGGACTGATGTATGGGCCATATGCCGTACATTTCTCGCAGCGCTATATGCCGATTGTACTTACTTTAGTGAGTCTGGCATGGAAGCGGAGGATACAATTATAACTATCTTTTGAGACCTTATAAAGTGTCTGCTCTACTCTTAGTTCTGTGCCTGGCTATTTTTTCTCTATACCATACTGCAAACCTATTTCACTTGGACGGATCATTCCTCACGATGGAAAGGCCAAACGGATATAGGCGTTATCCTTATAGACGGACATTACTGGTCACATATCCTCGTACTGCGTCCAACCTACTCGTGAGAATGTTGTCATTGGAACAGCAGGAGAACGCGATCTCTAATGAAAAGGGAGGCTACTTCTTCTGGGACTCCTTTATCAAGGGCCGAACAACCAATTCTACCTACACACCAATTGAAGACTGGACAACGCAACAAACCGAAGAGATGCAGCAGGTTTTTCAAGACGATTTCAATCGCTGGGAGAGCACATCACGTCTCGCTGAATCTCAAGGAAAGTTATTCTTTGCAAAGGAACATATCCAGTGGTTCGCAGATCCCGCTGCCATTAGCGATCACCTTTCACATAGCGAAAGTCACACTCCATCCCCGGTCAACATCAAGATTCCCACTTCGTACGGCACGCCCCACGAGTTTTCGCCCAACAACCTCACAATATTTCCCGACCACTACTTGGAGACCTGGAGGCTGACCTTTCTGATTCGTCACCCGGCTTTGGCATTCCCGTCGTTCTATCGAGCGATGAGAGAGCTGGAAAAGGAAGAATTTGCCCAGCCGCATGAAATGCGGCCGTTAATGGAATTGAATGCTACTTTGCGATGGACTAGACTTCTTTATGACTGGTGCTGCCAGCACCAAGGGGAGGCGAACATCGGCTGTGCCAGGGATACTCGGTACCCCTTAGTACTGGATGCTCAGGACATTATACATCATCCTGATATTCTCGCTAGGTATTGCAAGCTTATAGGGCTTAACCCTACCTATCTAAGATCGGAATGGGATGTCCCAAATCAGAAGGTGGAAAATGGAACCACGAAAAAGACGAGCCACAGAAGTCCTGAGAAGGTGATGAAGTCCACGCTGGAAAATTCATCGCATGTCTTGAAGAACAGAACGCCCATTATCGTCGACATCGGGGTTGAGAGGAAGGGTTGGGATCAGGAGTTTGGGATAGATTTCGGCGAACAGATGGAGAAATGGGTGAGGGAGGCAATGCCAGATTATAATTATCTTAGAGCGAGAAGGCTACAAGTCGGAGATACGTGAATAGCAAATTTCAATATACGCCTACAGCATCCAATTATCTATACCTGATAAGTTGGTTATTTTAGGCGTCCCTTGCTGCTATGAATAATCAATCTGCCCTTGAACTCATACGATAGTATATACTCACATCTCTATTCGCTGCTATTGAATGGTGGTTCGCTTGAATGGTTTACTTCGTATTTCCCCGAAGCGGAGGATCTATCTGTATTCAGGATTCTCGTGTGGCAACGTACCACATACTCGCTAACCTATGAACCCAGACACTCCACGCCCGGGATACAATGCCGCTTCGCCCTTGACAGCAGGTGGCCCATTCAAGTGCTCGTTAGAATAGCCCTGCGAGCTCCGTGTGCAGCTCAACAGTCATACCAAGGCAAATTTGAAAGCTGCACATAGTATAATATAAGCTGTGAGTTTCTGTGGTGTGCAGATATAGCCGTCAGGAAGCTTTGGCTGCTATGTAAAGAGGTCTCCAAATACAAATGACATCACTTGTCCTGTTGCAAAAGGATTGAATAAGTAACATTTCCGTAGACTAGTCACAAAGAGCAGTACACTATACATATATGGAGAGCATTAATCAGTGAAAGACAGACTGAGACTGAGAATGAGTGAACAAGTATGCTTTTCGACTTCCAGCCCTGGGCATTGTGAAGAAAACCTGCCCGTCATTCAGGTGCCATACAGCCACCAAGATAGTCCCATATGAAAGGTCCTTATGACCTTCAGATGTTGGATGCTTCAAACATCTGAAGCATCACAGTATAGTCTAGGACTTGTGTTTGCACCTGCAATGATCCCAGTTCCAGTTATTGCAGCTGGGCTGAAAGTTGTCACACCATTTTCCCTTACAGTGACAACTGTTCCAATCCCAGTCATCGGGCTTGCAATGAGGATCTGCTTGATGACAGACCTTCTTGCACTGACATGTATCCCAGTTCCATGACTTGCAGTTAGAGTCATAGTTACTACACCATTTCCCCCTGCAATGGCATTTATCCCAATCCCAATCACCAGGCTTACAGTGAGGATCTGCTCCGTTGCAGACTTTCTTGCACTGGCACCTATTCCAATTCCATGTTTTGCAGCTGGAATCGTAATTATCGCACCACTTGCCCCTACA